AACAACATATCTTAACATCAATCTTCAACGTACTGAAAAGCTTTGTCTTTTGTTCATTAAATTAAAATCCAAATCATGTAATTAGTAGGCTTTAGACAAGAAGAATTCCCATGGACAGCCATGGAATTTGGCTGGATTATGATGAGGGAATTCACCTTCAGAACATGATTTCATAGGCCAGTTTTCCTTTTTATTCTAATGGTCATTGTTGGAAGGAAATAATTCTTCAAAATGAGGAGGATATACTTCCCATTATCTCTAATGAAAGGTACCATAGCTTTTCTGTTTAGTGTGATCACCCACATATCACTGTGAAAGGCACCTTATCCAGATTTCTTTCTGAACCTCTGCAAGCCAGCCTTGCTGTAGTTCCAGCATTGACAATAGCAGAACTGATGACCCACATGTGCCAGCACGTTGTGCTGCAGTTTGACTAAAGCTACAATTAAAGGGAAATCTGGGAGAACAAGTGAAAACAGAATGAAAAGTTGTCACTAAATCTTCACAAGCTACAGTGTTCCTGCTCTCCTAAAGTCTAGCGAATAAAATTGAAAAAAAGAAAATTTGGTTTACCTTTTGTTTTCATTTACATTCTCTGCACATAAGTAGAAAGTTTTAAATTCTTCAGATGGAGGTTTGAGTTCAATTACAGATCTCTTGGAGCCCAGAGACTGTTCACTCACAATATAACCCTGTAGGTAAAGGCCACCTGGACAGAATAAAATAGCATGCATCATGTATATTGCAGATACCATTTATGAAATTACTGCCAATTACAAGCACACCAACAATTCTTGCAAGCTAGATTTTCAGATGCCTTGTGTTGGGTGTTTTGACAGGGTTGTACAGAATTTACAGGTAAAATATTTTAAAATGTGAAAGTTCACGGTTTTTTCCCTGAAAATTGATGTGAAAATAGCTTAAAACATGCTTCTTGCCCAGCAGATGATCAGCAGTATAATTTTATTTAGCTTTTCATTAAATAAGAAGTGGCAAAATATTTTTTCTAGCTTTTGATGTTCTTTTTCTTTCCTTTAAAAACTGAAGGGACATGAATTTCAACATTAAAAAAAATCCTGAGTCAGCATTTGTTCCCCTTGCTGCCATTAGTAATTGGAACATCATTGCAGGCCACACTAGCCAGCTGTGAAGGAAAGGCACTAGACAGAATTTGGTCCTCGGGACATTTTCATTTTAGCTGTTTTGGGTTTTTGTTTGTTTGTTTTGTTTTGTTGGCATTTTTTGTTTGGTTGGGTTTTTTTCCCCCAGACCTCACTTCACTGCAACAATGTGTATGTTCACTTTATACATACATTGTGAATAGCCAAAAAGACCTGTGGAGCTCATTAACTGCAGCTGACTGTTCCTGTTACTGTCTTCAGGGTCTGTATTTTTGGGGGGGTCTCACGATTAGTGACAAGAGCATCAAATTAATGCTATAGCATTGAGAATGATATGGGGGAGTGGGAATCTATAGTAAAATTGGAAAAAAATAATAGTTGCAATAACAAGAGAGAAAACATTACTGTATGCAAGAATTTATATGTAGTAGGATATTTAAACACCAAAGTGGCATATTTAGCAGTAGGAGCATAGGCTTGGGTGTCATAAACACATAATAATTTTTGCCTTTCTGCTAATTCATTGCTTAGCTCTAGGAAGTCTTACCTTCAGTTCCATGTAAAGAGGAAATTACTGGTCATTTCATATGTATGGCCTTTGGCAGATGAAAAGTGTTATGTAAATGGTATAAAGTGGAACACCTTTTGCCTGATCATGTGGCAAATAGCATAAACCCTACAAAAACAGGTTTCCCTTTTGATCTGAAAGCTGGCTAGTAAGAAAAAGTACAACAATATTTTCTTTCTGATTCTTCTGACTGCCAGCTTCCTCAGCACAGGGAGAGCACATTTGCAGTTCCTGACCTATCCCACCTCCCTGGGGCACCTCTTCTTTTTCAGAGTCTAACTGACTTTTATAGAGTTGTGCTTGCAGGCTTTCCTCAGTGGCTGAAAATCAGCTCCTCTACTTGCAATTGACATCGGTAGCCTCACGTTGCTGCTTTCAGAGGGTGGCCAGACACTCTCTTCTGGTATGTAGAGCTGCTACATGGCAGCTTTAGCTGCAAATGGCCATGGCCGCACCCTGGAGCACCAACTTCAGCTGGAGTAGGGAAGTTCTGTCTGTCGATGGGTGGCCTAGGTTTGCCAAGACCATGTGAAAACCTGGGAGTGGCAGAGAAACCAGTCTGAGCTTATGATGTCCCTCCCTCTGAGGATGCTACCTAACATGCAGGACTCAACAGTTTTCAGCAGACAGCCATGAGTGGGACTGGCTCAAGCCACTGTAAAGTGATTTGGAAGCGTGGATCTTGTTGCTGATACTTGCTTCTGAGGTGATGTGCACAGATCCTGACTAGCTCCATTCCAGAAAGAAAAATTCAGACCGTGGGAGGAAAAGAAAAGAAGACAGAGGTGACTATTTCATGAAAAGAGAATGAGTCTGTTCTTCCTTCACTCACCTTTACAGAACAGAGTGAGTTTGTTGATAAGAAACTCTCATTAATAGTAAAAGTTCTATTTGGAAACTATAGTGAAACATTTCTGCTCTAACAATCAAAATCCAGCAGCCATTCCTACCTTGGGCAGGTGTAGACCGGAGAGTGGCATAAAAATACAAACAGCCATCCTTCAGAATGCAGTAGTGCTGAATCCAGACATCTTTGCTTCTGTCCAGCTGGTGGAGAAGCCCCAGGCACTCTGGGTTTTTGATAGCCAAGGGTGGAAGTGTAGTGTTATGCAGTGTGACATCTACCCACACATGGTTCTGCAAAGTAAGCATGTAATGAGAAGTTTTGGTGGGAAATTAAGGAGCACCTGCCAGTATGAAAAGACACAAGCTCTAGTCCCCTGCTAGGAAATTAGCTTTTGTTGTGAAAATAATTTGAAAAGTCAATGCCAAAAATGCAATTAGAGAAACCTATACTTGATGGCAAATAGTGACCAACTTCTACTTTCTTCTTACAATAATAAACTTGTCTTTTCTGCATTTATTTTCTTTTTCAGTACAAGTTTTGCTGGTAGAAACAGGATTATTTCAAAGCTGTATGAAGCTGCTTTTTTAAAAAAATTGCCTTGCTGATTGCTTGACTTCAGCATTCTTTACTGTGTGTAATCTGGCAAGACAAGCTTTACCATCTACCCTCTGGGTTCCACAGAAAACGTGGTGGTATCTGAGGCCATAATACAGCACTCAGACTTGGATGGAAGCACTACCACGTACTAAATGTTTACAGATGCCTTCCCATGCCTTTCTGGAAAGCAGAGTCTTTTTCATTACTAAAATTATCCTATTGTCACTTACAGGTGAAGAAAAAGCTCAACCCATGAAAAAATTTCATTGTATAGGCTATTTGTATGATAAGAGAATCTGAAAAGAAAATCAGGAAAAAATAAACTTTGTTTAATAAGGCCAAGTTATTTAATGTGAGACTAAAGCATTTCTTCTCCTTTAAATCTGAGAGGTGTCAGGAATTCAGACTCTCCTAGTGAGTGTATCTGCAATACACATTTCGAATTCTACATCAACCAGTGTCATTGTCATTTGAAATCCATGGGGAGAATGTGTGCAATATCAATAGCATCCTCTTTGTTTCTGCAGGGGTTTTCTTTTGCATTAATTTATGATATTTCTTAGGTAACCTTGACAAGGCAATGATGGAAAAAGACCTGGCACAATATATCTAGCTGTATTGTTTGTTATGAATGGGAAACCTGCTGAGACTTATTGCAGCAAAGTGCAGAAGAGGACTTCAGTAATACTAGGTATATTCATAAAATAGTTACCCTTGTAGATTCATTAAGATGGCATAGTGTCAGTATATTGGTCTGTTAAATCCTTGTGTTGTGAGACCTACTGTAACACATTAGCTACTGCAAAAAGTCAGTAACAAACAGTATAGCAAACAAAAAAGAAGGAAAATATAAGCTTTTTCTATTCAACTGAATGGAAAGTCCTGTCAGAAGGAAGGAACAGGTGTAGTGTTCATTAAGAACAGAGGCTAGGCAATGAAAGCAACATATTAAATCAAACATTTCTTTCAGAAAAGGATATTGTTTGCTCAAAGCCAAAACTAAAAAAGATAAAGCAATCAAAAATAAGATGCAATAGCACAGAAAGAGGCCAACTTACTGTGTTGTTAATGGGTGAATGCGTGAGAGATCTTTCTGCATATATAATGTTGGAACTTTCTACCCAACAAGTTATTTTTGCATGTTACACTAAAAAATGACTCTTTTGATGTGTTTTCTTTTGTGTATGTGTGCCTTTATCCTCCTTTTTGGCTCAGGCTATTTTTTGTTTCTTTTGGTTAGGGTATACACTTTAAATTGTTTGTTTGATTTTTGCTGTTTTCATATATGTGGATTTCTTTCTATTCTTTTAAGAAACACTGCCAGGTAGAATATACTTGGAAACAAATTTGGTTTTGCCCTTACAATCTTATCTGAAAGGTGAAGCCAAAAGAAATATATGTTTGATTAATTTTATTTCAGCATAGAAGGAATTAAAGTAACAATAAACACCTCCTTTCACTGTTTGGAAACCCATCACTAAAGCACACTGCTGAAGGAGTCACTCATGTGCCCCAAGTTAAGAGGAAGAAAGTAAATTTTTTTTTTCATTGCATTAATGCAGGTAATAATTTGTACCTTGCAGTTTTCTTATTTTTTAATTGATGATTTTATTTCATCTGCAAAAAAGGTAGACTTTGATACTTACTCTGCATTTGAACATATTTTTATAAATATGGTCTGCCTATAGGAGGAAAGAATAAGAATCATAGGGCCAGGAAAGGACAGGCTAGAGTGGCTTTGACCCCTATGCTTCCAACCCTGGAAGTACTAAAATTAGCTTTGCAGTTCCCATTTCAGGGCTCAGCCAGGGACTTTTCATACTAAATTATGTTGGGCTGAGGAACTAAATTATGTTGGGCTGAGCAACTAAATTATGTTGGGCTGAGCAATGTCTCTCTGTAGCAGCTCAAGATCAATTATGGTTATGTTTCTTCCAGCCGTAGGGCCCAGCAGAGAGTATAGCTGTATAAAAAGATACAGAGGTAAGTCAAAGTTTATCAGCTAACTTACCTTTCTTCATCTCTGAAAATACAGAAAATAAGAACTCAGCACACCCCTTCCCACCCCACGCCACCCCCCTGCTTCTAATATGCTGTCAGAAAAAGCAGGTAGCTGGCAACCAAGGCAGACTTGCATGGAATACTTAAGAAGATACAGCCCTTCTCTCCGTTTACTCCAAATAGTATTACCTAGGGCAGAACATGTGGTTGTCAAGAGTTGTCTCTCCCCTTCCTCCCTTCCCACTACCCTCATTTTAGGTTGTGTTTCTGAACCAGATTAAGGCTGCTGGTATGATTCTTTCCACCATATGGCAGCAAAGTGTATTTGCTGAGTCACAATAATGTCTGTATATGGCTTTTAGATTGGAGCTAATTCATCTCCCAGCAGCCCAGAACGGAAGTATGCAGCTACCATGTTGCTGTCTGCGCCTGACCATGTACAAATAAATCTACTGTCTGTCAGTCTTATGCACAGTCTGATGCTTCTCATATAAATAAAGCCTTACCTGGTGGACAGGATGCACTGCTTTATCCATAGCCTCCAGCCACCTATAATATGACAAAAAATGAGAACACCTTAGTTTGGTAGAGCAGAATAAATGTGCTTCACTGCCTCTTTTAACTCGTGCTGACATAGACAGCATCTGAAGGGACGTGTGATTTTCAGGAAAAGTTCAAGGCTTCAAGACAGAAAAGTAGTGGATTAAATCTAACTACACATTGCTAACTCTCAGAAAAATGTCTCAAAGCTTGCTGTGTAACACATTGTAACAAATTAAGGCAATATTGCAGACAAGGGAATCTATATATTTTGAATATAATTCAACATGTCAGGCTAAATGATCACTCTTCTTGTGTCTTTGTTATAATATAGATAAGGAATTTGTGGGAAACATAAAGAATCCTGAAATGGGAGACTACAGGATAAAGCAAGCTATTTGCTGGCAAAGTTATTATTTTTGCACTATGGATGGTATAGAAATTGGAAGTGGAAAATACTCTGATATTACAATGGTGGGTGCTATGTTAAGTAGTAAGTTGTTATGAAAAGATGGGTGGATGAATACCAAGTGTCTTCCTACTTCATAGCTTTATATTTTGATAATTCACAATAAAACAAAGAGGAAAAGAAGATTAGATTTTAGCACACTTTGAAATTAAAGCCCAAAAAGTTCTTACTTGTGTTTTGGTTGATTTTAGCTTTGTCAGCTATAGCTTTTGGGAAATACAAAAAGAATATTTTTTAATTCTGAGTCAAACCTAAACTTATTGCCTTTTATCAGAAAAAATATGCTTTTGTGGCATACTTGCATTTTAAAATACTCAAATGATGATAATATGACAGAATGACAGAAAAGGAAATGGAAGATGGGATTGTATTTATTACTAGCACTGTCCTTGTTGGGCAGAAGAGAGATCTTTCACGTGAAATGACCAATAAGCAAGTTTACATCCACAGGAAGATTTACACTTCCATTTGATGTAACAGTAGGGGAGAAGGTATAAGAATATGGGTGAAGATTTTTTTCTGGAGATACATCAAGAATTCAGGGGGATCCTATGCAAAGCACAGATATTAAAGACTTAATGAAAAAAAAATTCTTATAAAAAAACTATGAAGCTGAAAAATAATTTTTGAAACTTCTGCAAATTAAAATTAGAAACACCATCTTCCATAAGTAGCTGACATTGTTGGTTTTTTTTTTCCCTACTGATCAAGACAGGTATTGTGAACATCCTCCAAAAATTCAGACTCCCTCTCCCCAAACAAGAATAAAAACCTGACCCCATAAAATGAAAGGTCACTTGCCTCTTCATTTCTTGGTTGGAAGTTGCACAGAAGTAGAAAATCCTGTTTCCACTTTGAGGTATGCATTTAAAAACAAATGGTTTACCCAGACTGGTGTCAACACCAACTTCGGCTCCTTCCAGCTTTGTTACTTCCAGGGGTCTGCACTTCCCTTCATCCTATAATTAGAGAGAAAGAGCGCCAAAGTTCAGAACTAACATGAAACCGATCCCTGTGAGATGGGGATAAACTCAGAGAATATTCAAAGGTGTAGAATTTGGTGATAAGCTCTAACGTTTTTGAACCATCATATGGTTTAGGGATCAGCAGCCTCAGAAAATGCAGTGCAGTCAAAAAAGATAAACTAGTCAAACACCCTCTAAATTTGCATTTCTGCTTTTCCAGGTTTATGCTGAGAACCTCACCTTATATGTGCAGATAGATGGAACAAAGGCTTACATACAGAAAATAGTGAGCATAATTTAAAAGGCTGGATTTCAGTTCCTTTGCAAAGTTGCCCTAAATATCATTGTGTTCATAACCCTTCCCATTCATTTCACACAACTTTTAGTGGAAAGCATTTCAAAACTGTTTGTACTGTATGGTTCCTGATTGAGTTAAAGCTCTTTGAGACTGAAGGATATTGTCAGTGTCTTTCTGTGTAGTTAGTTATAAGAAGCCACTAAGCTCCTTAATGGAAGTAGATAGGTGAAGCAGTTCCTTCCCCCACTTTCCCAGCGCAGCTCCCCTCAACTACATGTCTTAACTCAAAACAAAGGTGCATACATATGGACTGTGAACTCTAGCTGTGCTTTAAACAATATTCTTGCTTCCTTGCTTTGAAAAGCCAAGACTGGAGCTCTAACAATGATCAAGTTTGGCAGCAATAAAATGGAAAACATGAGTTAATGCTGAGACGTATGAAGAGCATTAGTGCCGTTTGCAAAATACACAGATGGTGGAGTCTCATAGAATAAAATCAGTTGATTAATAGGAGTTAATTAAATGTCAGTAGGAGCTGAATTGTAAATGCCACATGTAATCTTTTTATTAGCCTAAAAATAAACATACTTCTCCTTCCACAAACAAAGTATGCACCTGTGGGCATTAGATAGTTAAATACTTGCTTGTATGCTCATTGGCACATGTAATTATACCTTTGTTATACATGAACTTTCTGTAGGAACAAAATAACACCTAATGTGTTAACAAACATTCATGAATGCATTTCCTAGACTCTTTTGCTTTCTTCTTTTTTTTTTTTTAAATGCAAAACTTAAGTCAGTACAGAAGATGAAGGCAATCCTGAAAGTCATCAGTGCTGTGTGACCTACTTTACTTATAATGCCTTCAGACAAAAAACTACATTGCAAAGACAGCATAACCAAAATATGTATTCAGGCTCCAAATCTCATTCCTAGTGAAAAGAATAGTAAGTGGTAGGTTGATGAAGTGTTATTCAGCAGGATCCTGTCCACGGTCTGGATTCTGCTGACTGTCCTAGCCTGAAGGCAACAGACACTGCAGATACTGAAATGGCTGTGTGACTACTGTTGGTGCACATCCCTATAAACTCCTTTTCTAAACACTCTCTGTGCTTATTCATGGAATGAATGCAGATAGAACTCTGTGGCATCAAGAATGATTTATGCCCACTCTGTTTCAAATGAATACATCTAGGAAAGGAATAAGATGAATAAGATGGATTTGAGGCATTCAAAGTGAGACCAAATGTCCTTCATTGACTAATAGGCAGGCATGCTTCCCTAATTCTGATAAGCCAGATGTGAGGGGCATTTCTTTTCACTCATGTGGCTTTTATGCATAATATCTTGAGAGCATTCCTTTGGCAAATATCCCTTCGTTACAAAAAGTGCCAAAGGTATATTGCTGCAAAAATAATTATAAAAGTCATTTCTTATGCCTGTGACTGGAGAGTAACCCACTGATGAAACTGCCACTATGGAACCTAATATAACTAAGTGATGCTGCTTGAGTTGATAATATGTATCATACAGATTTTAAATGAACTAACTCAGATTTTAGCTACTACTGTTCCATTCTGCACTAAAGTAAAAAAGATTTTTTGTTCTCTCAGGGTCACTATCAGCTATTTTATGGATGCTTGACAGTCTGCAGTATCTGACATGGATGGACTCCTCTGGGTAGAAGGCAAAAAGCATATGCTGTGTTAGTAAATGGTATTCTAAGAATAATAGAAACATCTGAAGTAACCGTTCCCTTGCTGCTATTTTTCTTAAGATGGCCTGAGTTTTAGGGGAAATGTTTCTGCAAAATAAAAAGAAAATATTAAAAAAAAAAGTATAACTATGAGAGACTGATATAAGGGAGAAATAAGAATAGAAAAGTAGGTGTCTCCTTCCTCTATTGTATGAAATGGTCATTAAGGTAGTGTGTGTAGCCTGGGGGTTTCACAAATCAGCCCTGTTTAATTTGGTGTAAATAATCCCAGAAAATAAATGACATTCATAGCATTTCCTGAATGATTCACTGTGTTTAAAGAATTTTGTCTGAGCAGTTATGTTTGCTATTCTAGTTAAGCTTCTTTGTCTATTAGAAAGGAGGAGCTAAAAAGATACATGAACTTTTCATGCTCTTTGCAGTGAAAGAAATCAAATTAACAAGAGGAATAACTATGAAAAGAGATTAAAATTAAGCTACACAAGAGACTGCAAGTACTAGGAAAATGGAATGAAAGTAACTTTACAGAAAACAAGATCAAATCCTAGAAGAAATAATAGAAAAAATCTAAAACACAATATGAAAACTGAGCAGTGCTAGAAGGCAGAAGCAAAAGACTGGCTAGTTCAGGAGACTGGCAGTGAAAGTATAAGGCAGTCACCCCTAGGTCACTGGTTCATATTGTTTTCAGGTCAGTAGTGGTATGACCAAATTTTTGACTGTCTTTCAAAAATGTCTTCCTGGATGTGCCCCTGTGCTCTTAAACTAGACATCTCTTAAATGAGATAGGAAAATGAACTCTTTTTTTCTTTTTGCCTCTTATTTCTCATTTGCCTAACTTTCTCCATCTCAGCTGATGTGGCCACAACTGTCGCTGGAACTCAGGCTTGCAGCATTTTCATCATCTGTTATTTTCTGGTTTTCTTTGACCAGCTTCTCCCTGAGGTCTGGTACTGCTTGCTTAGTAGTATGTAAAATCTTCCTCTCCCTATCTCTTTCTTTTATCGCTGTGCTTTGTGGTAGGCTCATTGTTTGGATATTTAGGAAATTATAAGTAGAGCTTGTTTGCATTTCTTCTTTGATCTGGGTGCATTGGTGTAGAAGAGAGACTAAGGCTTTTATGTCTTTTTCCCCTAAAACTTTTTCTTTTCCCCTTGAGGAAAAGACTTGCATATGTCAGTGAACAGAGACCTTTAGACTCCACAACTGTTTGCATGGCATTTTTCACCAGTAGAGCTGATTTTACTTAGTTTTTAATTTTGTTTTGCTTTAAACAATTTACATCTAAACTAGAGAGAGTGGAAACATACTGAAGAGCAAGACAGCAGAGGAAGAAGATGTAAAAGCTCCTCTGATTTGAAGAACCTAGTTATCCTACTTCTAACTGTGTTGGCTGTCAGATGAAGTACAATCAGGTGGTCTTGTGATGTCGTTAATCTTCATGTTCCAGTTCGTTCTTTTGTTGAGGTTGAGTAATTCACTGAAATTAACTGCACAAAAGGTAATGAACAGTTTGCAGGGCCAAGCCTCACAGGAAGAACTATTGATTGGGTTAAAATTTTTAACAACTTGAATCAGGTCAAATAATGTATCTGATTAAGACTCATTCTCTGGGTCAGGGTATGCAATCTGTTAGAAGGCCAAAATTAACTTGCGTATCATATCAGCCAGGGTTAATTCTCATTTATTAATAGCAATAATACAGTGGAAGTATTGGAAACCTTGGATTCAGCAGCTCCTTAAATGTAAATTGAAAAATATATCCTGGAGCCATGGGAGTCATGGAAAATGTAGAGAAGAAATCAGATTGTATACCAACTCCAAATAATGTGCCAGCTTCCATACTATGATGATAAAGCTCCAAGCAAGAATGAAGAACAAACAAACAGAAGTGGTATTTTTATAAGCAATGGCTCAGACCTAAATCTATTTATAGCTAAGCCTTTTATATAAAGTGCTTAGGCTTAGCGATAAACACACAGGCTTGCTCAAAAGAAGAAAGGACTGAATGTTTCTCATAGATTGAAATGATGTGATTGGTCCACACATGGTAGGCAGGGGATTTATTTCTTGGTATAATAATTGGACTCTGTATATACCACAAAAACTAAAATAATTTAAAAACATTTTTTTTTCTTTCTATTCTATTCTATTGGGAACAGTCTTAAGGGTGCACACAAGCAACCAGAAGCATTTACTGTAGTGTTTGAATTACAAAATTTTTGTAAATACCCTTCCTGTAAAGTGAAGAGACAGAGAAGAAAACTCTAGAAAGAAAAAGGAACATTTAAGTCTGCATTTAAATTTCCTCGCTGTGTGTAGGGAGGGCTATCACTTGTGTGAGGCCTGGGTGCAAAGTGATGTGTCTTGATGTGAATAAAGGGAAGACTGGTATCCGGCTGGTTATACAAGGTGTTTAAATGTTGCTCTTTAATCTTATTTGGAATAAAAAGAAATAGCAAACTGTAATACAGTTTCCAGGTCTTCTGAATAAGGCAGAGGGTAAAACTGGAATGATTTACAAACACAAACATAACCTAATAGAGACAACTAAGGAACAGCAATTTCCTTCACAGAGACACAACTGATTAAAGAATATTCAATGAGGAAGGCATTCTGCTGTTAAGAAAAAGTGAAGGTTATGGACCCCTTTGAATGTAAATAGCACTGTATAGTTATCTGAGCAATACTTAATTGCCAGTGTGCTGGCTGTCTTAAAGTGCAATAAACAGAGAAGACAAGATTCTGTTGAACTATTGAAGTGGACTGGCCTTGTAATGGAAACAAGAATATGACCTAACATCTGATCATTGAGGTTATGTAATAGCTGTTTACCAGGCTGGGACCTAATTGCTTTCGCATGTTAAGAAATGCTCATCTTTGTTCCCACTGCCCTCATCTCAGCTTTGAGAAACTTTGCCTTAGTCACTCACACTATGCCTGAGGGCTTCCTGGAGGCATTAAACTTGTAAGCCTA